ACTGGAAACTTCTGTGTCTCTTCCTATAGCTCCAATTTTTTTTTTCTTAATCATTTTCTATATATCTTTCATAATGGCCCACAGCGTCTAGATATAATTTACTTAAACATTCCAAAATTGAAATGCATTCATTTGATGTTGAGTTTTGCTGTTTTTTCCAATATGAACAATATTGCAGTAATATCTTTGCTTTTATGCCTTTGTATACTGGTTTAGATTTTTTTTAAAAGATTTATTTATTTATGCCTACAAAAACTGACATACAGGCCAGAGGTGTGGGTGGTGAGAGGGTTCACCAGAGACAGAGTGGGGAACAGAACAGACGGACTGACTGAAATACACTGCTGAGGGGAGCAGTGGACAAGACAGGAGAGGTCTGCTGAGCCATGTGGGTTATCTCCCTTGTCAGAGATCTAACTTGTGCTGCAGTGGCTGTGGAAAGCTTCATATTGCCGACACTTAATCCCTTGCACCACCAGGGAAGTCCTAGTTTAGATTCTTGAAAATGAGATTGCTAAATCAAAAAACATTCTTATTTTTATAACAGATTTTGCTGGTTTGCTTTTTAAAATGCTGTAATAATTTACATTTCCATAGCAACATGAGAGTCCTCTTCCTAACTAATCCTGACAAAATTTAGCAACCTTGTATTATTTTGATTTTTAACCAGTCTGAATAGCATCAAGTGATTATTCTCATTGTTATATTTTCATTCCCTATTAGGGGTTTAAATATCTTTCCTTGTTTATTGGCCATATGATTAAATAATAATTTTCCCAATTTCTTTTCCCAATTTCTATAAGGCTGTTTATTCTCTTCTTGAAAATTTTAATCAATTTTTTTGTAATTGATTGTTTAAATGTTACTCTCTATCTGCCCAATGTGTTGCAAATTCACCCCCAAGCCTGTTGTCTTTTGACATTGCTTATATATCATTTTGTTATACAAAAAATTACTTTTTAAAATAATATGTCCATTTCTTTCTTAACTTCTGGGTTCTCAATCTTTTTTAAGGTCTCCCCTAGTTTTATATGTACATGTAGTTTCCAAGGTTTACTTAAAAGATTTTTAGTATCTTATTTTTTAGTCTTAAGTTTTTAATCCATCTGGAACTTAATTTTTGGTAAGAGATGTAATAGAAGGATACAGTGTTATTTTCATGCAAATGGATAGCCAGTACTTCTTCTTTTTTTTTTTTTTTTAAGATTTATTTATTTATTTATACCAGCACTGGGTACAGTCAGAAGCGCAGGAGGGTGAGAGAATTCACCAGAGCCAGAGCAGGGAGCAGAACAGGCAGAAGGACCGAAGCACACTGCTGAGGGGAGCAGCGGGTGGCAGGAGAGGTCTGCGCGCCATGTGGGACCCTCCTACGGTGGCCGGGGAGCAGCCGGGGATCGAACTGGTGCCGCAGAGGCCGCAGGCACCTTCGCAACCCAGCGCTCAACCGCTGCGCCACCGGGGAGGCCCTAGCCAGTACTTCTATTTAAAATTATTTCACTCTTGGGCCTCCCCGGTGGCGCAGCGGTTGAGCGCTGGGTTGAAGCTGCCCGCGGCCTCTGCGGCGCCGGTTCGATCCCCGGCTGCTCCCCGGCCACGAGAGGAGGGTCCCACATGGCGTGCAGACCTCTCCTGCCACCCGCTGCTCCCCTCAGCAGTGTACTTCGGTCCTTCTGCCTGCTCTGCTCCCTGCTCTGGCTCTGGTGAATTCTCTCACCCTCCCGTGCTTCTGACTGTACCCAGTGCATGTATAAACAAAACAAACAAACAAATAAATAAAATAAAACATGCCTCTATTAAAAAAAATTAAAAAAAAATAAAAATAAAATTATTTCACTCTTTTTTTCTAAAATGCTACAGCATTTTATTTTATTTTATTTTACAGTTTTATTTTCATTGTTCTTTTTATTTATTTATTTTATAAATTTTATTTTTATATTCCTCATACAATTGTGACCCCCTTATTTTGACCCCAATCCCTCCCCTCCCTGCCCCCCACCCCCCATAGAGTGTCTCTGGTTCATAGTTGTTTGTTGATTTTGATTTTTACTTTCTTATAGTTATTCTTTTTCCTGGTCCCTTATTTAAGTTTTCTAGATTCCTGCTATGAGTGAGACCATCCGGTATTTTTCTTTTTCTTTCTGGCTTATTTCGCTGAGCATGATCCCTTCCAGCGCCATCCATGTTGCTGCAAATTGCATGTGTTTATCTTTTTTGAATGCTGAGTAATATTCCATGGTGTATATGTACCACATCTTCTTGATCCAGTCATCTATTTTTGGGCATTTGGGTTGTTTCCAAAGCTTAGCTATTGTAAATAGTGCTGCTATAAACATAGGGGTGCAGGTGTTCTTTGGAATTGATGTTTCTGTGTCCTTTGGGTAAATACCTAGGAGTGGAATTGCTGGGTCATATGGAAGCTCTGTTTAGTAGGTCAAGAAATCTCCACACAGCTCTTCATAGTGATTGGACCAGTTTGCACTCCCACCAACAGTGCAGGAGAGTTCCTTTTTCTCCACAACCTCGCCAACATTTGTTGTTGCTAGTTTTTTTAATATGTGCCATTCTCACAGGTGTAAGATGGTATCTCATGGTAGTTTTGATTTGCATTTCCCTGATTACAAGTGATGTTGAACGTTTTTTTTATATGCCTGTTGGCCATTTGCATTTCCTCTTCAGAGAAGTTTCTTTTTAGCTCTTCTGCCCATTTTTTGACTGGATTATTTTCTTTGTTTTTGTTGAGTCTCATCAGCTCTTTGTAGATTTTTGTATTTCACTCTTTAATCATTTCTATTTTGACATGCTTTTAAATATATGTACTTATGTTATAGTTCGGGTATAGGATTTATGAATAAATACACATATATCAGAGTTATGTGTGTGCTCAATTTTTTCTTAAAGCTGAAAGGGGGGCTTGATCAAAAATTTTCAGAAACCACTGCATAGAAGAGGAGCCCCTTGAGGATAGTGATTATGTCTTTCCTTATCTTTGACTACATTGCTAAGACTCTGTCACATATATGTGTTCAAAATGGTTGTTAAATAATTGAGTCAATGAAACTGCCATTATCTGATGTATGTGCATTAAGCAACACAGCTATTGAGAAACCTGACATTCTTTCCAGTTGTATCCTGTGGCAAAGTATGTGAAGGTAAGATTAATGACTCATATTGGCAGGTAGTATATCTTCATTGGTATCAAGTTCATACACTTTTTAAATATGGGAATATAAGTTCTTAAAATTTTAAAAGACTTCCTTATGGCGTGTAATCCATTGGTGCTTTGGAAACCAGTAATTACTTTTTTGTGACTACATTCCCTGCTTTTTAATGGCAGTCACCTACACTCTACAATGGCAGTGTGCTGGGAAGAATTAGTCATCTCAATACTTTAATGTCAGAGGCATGATTATATTTAATTTTAGATTAATCACTTCTAAAAGACAAAGACTACTAAACATATATTCTTAACAGTGTCAAAATCGTCTCAATTGCTAGTCAGGAAAATTCCAAAATTCTTTTCCCTTTCTATTACACAACTTAACCTTAGCAAAAATAGCAGGTTTACTTTCTTGGATTGTTTTTAATAACAATACTGAATGTAGAATGTAATTTCATTTGCCCAACCAAATGGGTTATGTTTAACTGGACTGTGCACTTTGCACTTCTTATATTTACTTTTTCACAAAGCTTTCTACATTTACAACTACTCTTCCAGTAGTTGATTGTTACAGATGAGGGTGGTGCATCTACCACTGGACATTGTGCATCATTTTTTTTCTTTTTAGTCGATGTTCACTCATCACTACTCCCTGTTTTATCTTTGGAAAACAGAAATCAAACCAGATTTGTTTTTGCTATAGGTCAAATAATGGTGAAAGAGACCTTTCTACTGTCTACTTTGCTTCCATTTTCTACCGGAGTTTATTAGAAGGAAGAGATAACCTTCCTTATAATAAAGAGGAAGAGAAATTCTAGCACAAGCAATTATTTGTCTTGTAGATTCAATTACTGACTTATCAAAGTATTGGAGACAGTGCAGAATACAGACCTGGCTATTTTGTTTACTCGAATGCACACTATTTACCCAAAAGAAGCCTCTCAAATTCCTTCGCTACACAGCAGAATCAAACTTGTAAAGCATAATTCAGAATCTGTTCTGCGAGAGGACTGTATGCAATGGATGCATTATTATCACATCGTTCTGTAGGACTTACATTTTGATACATTATTTTACTTTTTTTAAAAAAAACATTTTAAAATGACAAGTTTAATTAGGTGAAGGGAGAACAGACACAGATACAAGCGGGTAGCAAGAACAAATATTTTCAAATCTATACCTAAACAAGACAAAAATATCAGTGATTGCCATAAATTAAACAAGTACTTAAAACCTTACTTTGATAAACTAGATAGAACACAATGCTTAAAAATAACCTTATGGAGAATTTGAGAAAATTCTCTCTGATCACTAGTTTCTTACAAGAATAAAAGAAAACTCGTTTCTCAAAGAGACTACTTTTAAAACAGGAAACTGTACTTTGCGGCCTTTGCGCTGCAAGAAGACAGCGGACACTAACGAAATCCAAGAACCGACTAACACAATGCTTAAGTTCTTAGTTTTCAAGGTTATGAATGGCGACTCACAGACGCGAATTTAGATAACTGCTTTGTTAGCACTGATGGAGATGCCAGCGTAAAAACGTTAGATTCGAGAGGTTCCTCGACGTTTCCAAAATCAGGGAACTGCAGTCGGCGACGCGCGACCGTTCGCTCAGGAGGAATCACACTTGGCTCCGAGCTGGGGCCATGGAAAGCCCTGCGGGTCAACTCAATGTTCCTGGGCTCTCATTGGATACTTCCGTTCAACATTGAGTGTATTTCCCTAGGTCACCAATAAACACTGTGGTCTAAGAAGGTCCTCGGCGATTGGGTGTCTTGTCCTCGCGTTGGAACGGTCACAGCCAATGGGAGAGCAGAAACAACGGAGGTGCCGGGGTCATGGGGAGAATCCTTAGAGCCTCTCCGCGCCAGCGCTCTCGCACTTTGGCTCCATGAGTTAGTCTGGTCGTTTGCAATCGGTGAAGCCGCGGCTGTGGACGGCAGGGCCAGCTTCGCGCTTCTTGGATCTTTCAACCACTTCGATGTGGCCCTGATGGTGCCCTGGACTCGTGACGCTCTGGAGCGGTATGTAGGGTCCGGGGGCGGCGGACAAAGCTGTGGAGCCCTGAAGGCCGCGGAAAACGGCCCCTGCACCAAGTCGGTGAATTGGCCTGGACGGGGCGCTCCACCTGCTTTCTTGTCAAAACCAGTAGTGCGTCTCTCCAGGCCCTTTAAAGCGCGCTTTTCCTCTGGGTCGCGTGGAAATGTTTTGTTCACTTCTACTCCTTTCCCCGCAGTCTGGTATTTACGAATCTACCGTTGTTATAGATGGCTGTTGGTTGTCGTGCACCAGACTTCCGACTGTTTCTTTTTTTTTTTTTTAGCTTCATTCAAGAGTGTTCACATTTGTGCATTAAAAAAAACTTAGGGGCGTTTATACTGTCAACATCTCCTTTTTCGGTAGTGTACTGATGATATGTTAGGGCGGTGCAGAAATACACCCCAACATTTGGGGCAATAGAAGTCCCCAGAAGATCAATTGGTCCATGCTCTTAATATTTCTTATTTTTTTTGAGCCTGACAGCCTCTCAGGATTGTCTTGAGAGGAAACTGAGGCTCAAGGAACCGGAGGTATGGTTTGTTACAGCTAGTAAGGGAAAGCCAGATCTGATCTCAATGCTTATGTCATTACTTAAAAATTCGCTTAACTGAATATTGACATGTTGTGTACACGTGTACCCCCTGCATCTCTTAATATGGGAGAGCTCAATAATTATTTGAGTTGAATGGTGTTTCTTGGTCAAGAGAAAAAATTTTTCACGCATCTTCCTAATTACAGGTGTATAATATCTAGCACCTAATTCCTAGCCTCTCAGTGTGGTTCCCTGACTAGCACCACAGATAGCCTCACCTGGGGGTTTGTTGGAAATGCAGACTCTCAGGCTTCACCCAATCTGCTGGATCAGAATATACTTTTTAACAAGATCCCTTAGTTTTTCATGGTGTTCCTTACAGTTTGGGAAGCATTCATTGTCTTATAATGATTTTTTTCCAAGTTGAACTAAACGAAAGAGAAAATAAAAGGTATGCAGTATTCTATTTGTTTTCTAATAAAACAAGAACTCTAAAGACAAGGAGAAAGGTTTTTATGTTACCCCATGGTTTCCTCATTTGCTCTTGAGTGAAGGCGTGATTTTTGTTCTTAATTAAAAATGTATTCACAGTTTTACCTTACTAGCCAAAAATTAAAACATGTAAGTATTTAAATAGTGATTCAAAACGAACTTGTAAGATATTAGGTATTGGTCTTAAAAATAATAAGGCTAGGGCCTCCCCGGTGGCCCAGCAGTTGAGCACTGGGTTGCGAGGCTGCCTGCAGCCTCTGCAGCGCAGGTTCAATCCCCGGCCACCGGGTGAGGGTCCGACATGGCGCGCAGACTTCTCATGCTGCCCGCTGCTCCCCTCAGCAGTGTACTTTGTCTGTCTGCCTGTTCTGCTCTCTCCTCTGGCTCTGGTGAATTCTCTCACCCTCCCGCACTTCTGACTGTACCTAGTGGTTGTATAAATAAATAAATAAAATCTTTAAAAATAATAATAATAATAAGGCTAGAAAGGAATGTTAAATACTATAGCTGACAAAAATCCCGGTTACCTCTGTTCACTGACACAAGCTATGCATAGATCCCCCACCATAATTTCTTGCCATAATTTTGTTCATTGATCAAGGGCTTCCAGTCACTTTCTTTGGATGGAGGGAGTATATTTGGTACTGCCTGTTTTTTTTTTTTTTTCCCCAGGTTTATTAGTTATCTGGTAACAAAGTCAAAACCTCATCCCAAATTCACTTACTCTCTTGTTGCTCAGTAATAAAAAGTATCTTGTGAGGGCCTCCCCGGTGGCGCAGCAGTTGAGTGTTGGGTTGCAAAGCTGCCCGCGACCTCTACGGCACCGGTTCGATCCCCGGCTTCTCCCCTGCCACTGGAGGAGGGTCCCACATGGCATGCAGACCTCTCCTGCCGCCCGCTGCTCCCCTCAGCAGTGTGCTTCGGTCCTTCTGCCTGCTCTGCTCCCTGCTCTGGCTCTGGTGAATTCTCTCACCCTCCCGCACTTCTGACTGTACCCAGTGCATGTATAAACAAAACAAACAAACAAATAAATAAATAAAAACATGCCTCTATTAAAAAAAAAAAAACAAAAAAAAAAGTATCTTGTAGAGTTTTAACTTGCAAGTAGTCAAATATTCCTAACCATATTAAAAGGACATGCATTTGTGGACTACCATAGAATGTTACTCTTATTTGCACCAGGAGTCACCTAGTGTGCTTTTTAAAATCAGTCCTAAAAAGAAAAAATAAAAGCAGGTAAAATCAAATGATAAGTTTTGGGCCTTAGGTCCAAGGATTCTTAGTTCTGTGCTTGTGTATCGCAACCTGCATTATGGTAATCCAGTTTATTCTGATGTAGGCCACAGAGATGCATACTTTTTGACATTAGTGTTGTATATGTAAAAATGCAGCTAGAAAACAAGCTGTTGTAGAAAAAGCAAAAATAATTTTTTTTTTTTTTAACTTACATTACAGTGCATTGGTTGCCATAAAATTGCTCAGGACAGGTCTATGTAAAATTTATTTTGAGATCTGCTAAATTTGGGGATAAGAGAGCATTTGATAGAATGAATACCAAAATATATAGTTTAAAAATATTTTTTCCAGTTTATGAAGACTAACAATTTTACAAAAGAATCTTGACTGTATGAAATTTATAGAGCTAACAAAAAACACTAAATGTATCTAACACATGAATTGGGGTTAAATTCTAATTTTGCCTCACCTGTTCCCTTTTTCCCTATGCCATAAGTATCTTAAAAGACCTGTAGTGTTTGTGGTCCACAGGAATAATTGGTCATTTAACAGGATTCAGGAAATTCTCAGAGTAACTTTGTATCATCAAGAATATTAAAATACAAAGAGAAAAAATGAACTCTTAACACTGAGGAGTTCTTTACTGAAGTTTTATTTAAAAACCCATCTAGGTGCAGCAGACCTCTCCTGTCTCGCCTGCTGCTCCCCTCAGCAGTGTATTTCAGCCAGTCTGCCTGTTCTGTTCCCCACTCTGTCTCTGGTGAATCCTCTTACTCCCCGCATCGCTGGCCTGTACCCCAGCTCTTGTATGCATAAATAAATAAATCTTTAAAAAAAAAAACCCATCTAATTTAGGGGCAAACTTACCTGTTTTTCTTGGCTTCATTTAAGTGCCATAGGAAATGGCTGTACATAACTGCAGCTTCTACCTGTTTGTTTTCTAGGATCTTTGTTGCGTTATATTCCCATCCTTTTCCTAGGCAGATTCTGCTTGAACCCATCTCCTTATCAGTGAGCTTTGAAGATTGTAAGTTTTAACTATTTTGACTTTTGTTCATCCCAAAGCAATAGAAAAGGCCAGAATCATTCACACTGAATAATCTGAAGCTCCTTTGATGAGAATGGAGATTTCCATTTTGTAAACGGACCATCATGTAGAGCATTTTTATTTGTGACTTGGTTCTTGGGCCTTTCAACCAGTAGCTGGTTCTGCAGATTCCATTTGGGATAGGATTTCATTAGTGACATCACATCAAGCTCAAGGTTAGCTGATTTGCAAACAGAAATATTCAGGATGGTAATAATGGAGGCACCTAAGAGGTAACATGCCCCTAAACAGTTTAGTCTTATCTCTGTATTCATTCTATTGCTTTTTTCAAATTCATTTTTTATTGTTGCAGTAATTTTTTTATTTTGAGAAAATTACCTGTCAAATTCTATCCTGTAAAGTTTTGTCTTTCTTGATTTCTTTATTTTGCTTTGCTTGCAAACTTAAAAAAACTATTAATATATTTTACCTAGAATATGCTTTTTTCTTTTGCCAAATGATGAATTAAAGATTCTTTGTTGTTGTTTTAAAATTCCTTAGAAGTTATTCTAAAACCATTTATTGAATTATACAATTTTTCATTGATTTTATTCTCATGAAACTTATAACTATCATTCATTAAGCATTTACTATGTGCTAGGCACTAATCTAAGCCTAATGCATACTGTCATTTCATTTGAGCTGTACACCATTGGTACTTTCTATAATTAACCCCATTTTAGATTAAGAAACTGAGACAAAGTTTAAGTCATTTGCCTAATTTAGTTACCAAGTAGTGGAAAATGAAATCCTAACCTGCTTTCTTATGTGAATGAATCTTTCCTGGGAGAAGTGTATTTAATCTCTGTCAATCCCTACTCCAAAAACTTGTGTACACGTATACACACACACACACACAATCAATCAATCAATCACTAGTACTACTGCTATTCCTGGAATGAATTAATCTTTGCTTTTTTTTTTTTTTTTGAGTCATAATTTTGTTGCCATCTCCCTCCCCAGTAGGATTTGCTGTTGAAATATTAGCATTAACTTATTAATTTGTATATAACATTTATACAGCTTTATATTCTCAATATGATTATTCTGTGTAACTTAGCTAATTGCAGTTAGTTTTTTTAACTTGCTTTTTATATGAAGATTATTGTTTGGTATTGTTTCTTTGACTTTTGTTATGTTCAGATGTAATTTTTTCTGTTAAGAGAAAAAGATATACAGAACTTAAAATGACTATATGGGAAGTAATAGAAGACAGTAAGATTTTAGCCTAGTTCTATCCTACCTCACTTTTGTCACCAGAAAAATTGTTTAACATCCCTGTGTCTGTTTCCTTAGCTGTCGAATGAATTACCTCAAATTTTGATTTCATTCTTCTCATTTGCCCTCAGAGATGGACAGGTGTCCTTGGATTCATTTCAGTTTCAGTTATCTCGCAAACTTCTCTGACCTGAGACATGAGGCGAGATACCCTTCTTGACTTCTTTGTTCACAACCATCTTTGGCTTCTCCTTTTTCCTAGGGGATCTCATCTTTTCTTGGCCCAGTATACTGGATTTTGTTTATAGGTGAATAAGGAAAAAAGCTGTTAACTAACCACTTTGCCCTGAGGCACTTATCTTAGACTCCAGAAATGTTCTAGAGAGGAAAAAAAGCACTGGTGCTGTTACTGTTGGAGAAGTGTAACAAAGCTTTCAAAGGTTAAACTGTGAAGAGCTTGTTTGTTGTGACTTTAATATTAAAATATGTATTGCTAAGAAGGAAATTATTAGAACATAGAAGATGACATGTTCTTTAAACGGTACACACATAAGTAATTTGATTTTTTTTTTAGTCAATTTCTTAGGTTCATTTTGATTTTCTTATACTGTGGAATTGCCAGTTCTTAAGTTTTTGTGTGATTTAGACTGATTTGTTTCTTTTTAAAGGTTTGTAATCTTCATTATTTGACAAATGCCATGATTACCTCAGCAGTCTTGAACTAATTTTGCAAATAATTTCTACAGAATTTAAGAAGATTTTGTTCATGTGTATGGCATAGAAGATGAATTCTTCCACCTCCACCATGAATGAAGAACCTGATGCTCTATCAGTAGTTAACCAGCTACGGGATCTAGCAGCAGATCCATTAAATAGAAGAGCCATTGTTCAGGATCAAGGATGTCTGCCTGGCCTTATTTTATTTATGGACCATCCTAATCCCCCTGTTGTCCACTCGGCTTTACTAGTAAGTTGCCTTTAATAATTTCAGTCTCAGTGTTATAATCTAGCAATTGAGCAACATTTGAAAAAGTGTTAAGATGGCATGGTAAAAAAATTAAAGTGCTTATATAGCAAATAAATAGTGTGTTCCTGTATGTATAAACGTGTATGTAGTCTTTTTACAAATATGGTAGCATACTACATTGACTTTACTCTGACACAAATGACAGTGTACTACATGTGTGGAATGTTCTAGAACTCCTTTTTTTCCACTTAACAAGAAATCTTGATTTATATGACATTAGTACAGCTAAACAATCAAGTTTAAAAGATACTTATTTTGTGACAGTTTTATCAGGATATAAATCATACTATATATAAACTCACCTATTTAAATATACAATTCAGTGGTTTTTCACAACTATTCGGCCATCATTACAGTCCATTTTAGAATATTTTTATCACCTCAGAAACTCTACCCTTTGCCTATTGCTCCCCAGCCCCACCACTGTCCTTCCTAAGAAGCTACCATATTTTGTCTCTGTATTTGTCTATTATGGCAAAAATGTCTAATAAATATAGAATAGCTGGTCTTTATGGCTGGTTTCACTGAACTTTGTTCTTTCACTGAAAAAAGTAGTTTCAAGGTTCATCCATGTTGAGCATGTACTTCATTCCTGGTTATGACTGAATAATATTCCATTGTATGGCTATGCCACATTCTATTTACCTGTTCATCAGTTGATGGACATGGCATTTGTTTTTATATAAGCTGGAATGGAAAAATAAAGAAAGAATAGGAAAAAAGAAAAATATACAGGATCATAGCTAATATTGCAGAAGGAAGCACCGTTATGAGAAATATGGGGACCAGAGAAACATGTTAAAGCACGACACAAGGCAATTAGGCGAATCCAAATGTCATGATTTCTGAAGGAAAAATAATCTCTGTCCCTGATAAATAAATGACATTAAAAAGGATGGCAGAGGCCTCCCTGGTGGCACAAGGGGTTAAGACGCAACCTATGAAGCTGTCTGCAGCCTCTGCAGCACGAGTTCAATCCCCGGCTGGCCAGGGAGCAACCCATATGGCGCAGCGGACCTCTCCTGCCTCGCCCACTCTCCCCTTAGCAGTGTACTTCGGTCAGTCTGCCTGTTCTGTTCCCCACTCTGTCACTGGTGAATACTCTCATCCCCCACATCTCTGGCCTGTACCCCAGTTCTTGTGTGCATAAATAAATAAAAATCTTAAAAAAAAAATGGCAGCTTGGTAGAGCAATGACTTAGAAGTTAAAAGAGATTAAGGAACTTATCAGCCAAGTGTAATATGTGTACCTGAATTGGATCCTGATTTGAATAAATCAACCATAAACGTATTTTTAAGGTAGCTTAAAATGAATATGTATTAGATAATAGATGATATAAAGAACCTTTATTACTTTCATAGAGTATTGTTATAGTATTATCATGAAGTTAATTTTAAAAAAATTAGCTTTTTAGGGATGTACTAAATATTTAAAATGAAATTAACATGTTCTCTGAGGTTTGCTGTAATGTATTCTGTATATGTTTGTATAAAGGATATATGAAAATACTCCATGGGTTGTGGAGATAGGTGAAATAAGATGGCTAAATGTTTGGTAGTTGTCTGAAGCTGTATGATGGGGATGGTACCACACATCTCCTCTACTTCAGTGTCTTATGAAACCATGATAAATTCCCACTGAGTCTAATTTCTCAGATTTGTATAGACAAATAATATATGCTTTTCCCTTTAGAAAAGTAAGCTATATAGTATAGCTTTACTATTTTACTTTCATAAAATGAAGTTTAACAGTGATAATAGATGTGAATAAACAATGGTAACAAATGGAAAATTTGCATGGCCCTTGCTTTGGTCCTATTTCTGTAATAATTGCAATGGGAGTGGGAAGAGAATTGAAGATTGGCAATAAGGATGAAAAGAGGGAGTGTTGGTCTGTAGATAGGGGCAAGGGATTGAAGGAAGCTTTTTTTATAGATTAGATTTGAACTTGCTTGAATTTAGAAGGTACAAGGAGTTGCTGAAGTCGGAGAGGTTTAAGGTGAAAGCTCTTCATTATACAGAAAATGAGAAAGATCGCTAAATGGTGGTTGTTCAGCATTGTAAGGTCTTCGTTAGTTTGGTAACACTGAATTGATGAGATGCTTATGGCCATGAAACTTTTTTCTTCCTTTTTCATGGCTGCTCTAGGCCCTAAGAGCAAATAGATTTGTGAGGGTTGATTCTTGGCCTGTAAGTTGGACAGAATGACTATGCAAGGTGTTTAGGCTCTTGGCAAGAGAGTGGTTGAGACAATAGACTGTAGATGCTAGTCTGAATGGGACAGGAAGTCAAATCATGGGAAGACAGAACTAATGCAAATTTGGAGAGGTATCTGTAGAGGGATCAGTGGGTGAAAGTTCTCAATGAGGTTAAACAGGTATGGTGTTGGGCCTCCCCGGTGGCACAGCGGTTGAGCGCTGGGTTGCGAAGCTGCCCGCGGCCTCTGTGGCGCCGGTTCTATCCCCGGCTGCTCCCCGGCCACCGGAGGAGGGTCCCACATGGCGCGCAGACCTCTCCTGCCGCCCGCTGCTCCCCTCAGCAGTGTACTTCGGTCCTTCTGCCTGCTCTGCTCCCCGCTCTGGCTCTGGTGAATTCTCTCACCCTCCCGCGCTTCTGACTGTACCCAGTGCATGTATAAACAAAACAAACAAACAAACCAGCAAACAAATAAATAAAAGCATGCCTCTATAAAAAAAAAAAAAAAAACCAGGTATGGTGTTTATAATACCCCCCCACCCTCCAGCCATCTATAATTTCATTTTATTTTTGCTATTGATGTATTAGCAATACCTTTTGCTTGTATTTTTTTTGTAGATTTTTTTTATAGATTTTTTAAAATTAAGATTTATTTATTTATTTATACAAGCACTGGGTACAGTCAGAAGCGCGGGAGGGTGAGAGAATTCACCAGAGCCAGAGCAGGGAGCAGAGCAGGCAGAAGGACCGAAGTACACTGCTGAGGGGAGCAGTGGGCGGCAGGAGAGGTCTGCTGTGGGACCCTCCTCCCGTGGCGGGGGATTGAACCGGTGCTGCAGAGGCTGCGGGCAGCTTTGCAACCCAGAGCTCAACTGCTGCGCCACCGGGGAGGCCTTGTTTGTATTTTATTTTTCAGTGGTTGCTCTAGATTTTTCAAGATGCATTGTTAACTTACTGGTTTGCTACTATATAAATCATAGGCTGCATGTATAGCATAAGAATCATACAATAGTATATTTCATTTCTTTCTCCCATCCTTTTTGGTATTTTTTTGTTGTATATTTTATTTGTGTTCAATGTTGAAAAGTCTGTAGTTTTTTGCATAAAATAATTTAACAATTATTATATAATTTAATCTCTTAAAGAGATTAACATTTAAAAATCAAAGTTAATGGTTACTCTAACTTTTACCATTCCTGGTAAAAGCTCTTTACCAGGAAAGAACTTTCAGTGTTCTTTAATATAACTTCAGATTTTTACTGGTACCTTTTTTATTTTTTTCTTCCTGAAGAAATAATTTTTTTTGGTAATGCAGATTTGCTGGTTAACTTTTTTCCTAGTATTTCAAAGATAGTGTTTTATTGCTTGGTTTATATGATTTTTAATATGACTGTTTTATTTCTTTGTTCCTTTCTATAAAGTGGCTTTTTCTGACTTCTTTTGAGAATTTATCACTGGTTTTCAGCAAGTGATTTTGTGTTTGATCTGGATGGTTTTGTGTTTTGTTGTTGTTTTACTTGGGATTCATTAGGCTTCTTGCATCTGGGTTTATAGTCATCAAATATCTGGATTTTTTCCCCATTAAACTTGGGAAATTTTTATTATAGTCATTTTCTTAGAAGCTGTCTGTCATCCTTCTCACTCCCCTCCTGGGACTCCAATTTTATATATATATATATATATATATATATATATATATATATATATATATATATATATAGTGTATGTGTGTTAGACATTTCAGTCCTACAAGTCACTGTTGTACTGCTCTTTCTTTTTCTGCCCCTCCCCTTCATTTTGCATAGTTTGTGTTGCTAGAACTTTTAACAAGTTCACTTGATCTTTTTTTTTTTTTCTCCTGTAGTATCTAATCTGCTATTGATTCTAGCCAGTGTGCTTTTCATTTCAGATATTATGTGTTACATTTGGGTCATTTTAGTATCATTTCTTCCCTGACTATGCATTCTTTCCTACTCTTTTATGAGCATATTTATAAAAGCTGTTTTAATATCCTTATTTTCTAATTTCACAATCTCTCATGGTTGTCTTTATTGCTTTTAGACTTTGTAGAGTGGTCTAACACAGCTCATATTCTATGATACCACCACTACTAAGGAGATGTTCCTCTGAGGATTCTCTTACTCTTCAGGCATTTTCACCTCTGGCTGGTGGTGTCACAAACTTTTCCCAGCCCAGTGTAAGCTCCAGGAATTGTTTTCCCTACTTACTGGTGGTTTTATTCCTTAGCCCTGTGGCCTTTTACCCCAGACTTGTGTAAGTCAGTATTCAACCAAAGATTCTTGAGGACCCCTTTGAAATCTCTGGCACTCTCTTGCTATGCAGATTTTTCCTCTGTTTGCTTTATAAATTCTAGCCACTTGGGGTGTTTTCTGATACCAATCAATGCTTAAATCCTCTGTGGACACTGGCTGAGTGTCCAGCAGTTCAATTCTGACTCTAATTACATTACATCAAATTTCCTCGGTTTAAGGCTAGTTCTATAAGACTACCTTAACTAAAAAATGCCAGTTGTGCGATTGGATCACTTGTACTTTTGACTGACCAGTTATAAATTGGGTGTTCCTGAACCCCTCCTCAGGTTCAATAATTTGCCAGAATGGCTGAAAACTCAGAAAAGCTCTTTACCTGTACTTACCCCTTTATTATAAAGGATACATACAAACTGGTAAATAGGGCAAGTCCTGAACTCACTCTCCTTCTAAGGTTTTCTAGATCTTAATCTTCAGTCCCTTCCCTCTCCATAGAGGTCAGCCGGTAGGACTGAAAGTTCATACTTTCTAGTCACTTGATCTTTCTTGTGATCAGCCCTATTCTAAGGCAGCCTAACCTATGTCACTTATTTAAAATAAACTCCTGATGTGGTCAAAAGGGGCTCCTTATGAATAACAAAAATGTGTTTTATTATTCATATTCTGTCACTCAGAAAATCCCAAAGGTTTTAGGAGTTCTATGCCAGGAAACTGGGGACAAAGACCAGATATTTATTATATGCAATACCCCAACCTCCCCAATTCAGGTTTCTTTGTCCATAACTCAGCAATACCACTGGACTGCATTTGGGTTCCCACTCCCCATGCTTCAATCTGGAGAGCTATAAGATGGGACAGTTGTACAACCCACCTCAGGGATTACTGCCTCTGTTCCAGTGTCTGAACTGGCATTTAATATATATTGTTCTGTTTTCTAATTTTTTAAATGGAGGAAGGGCGGTTCCCATGGCAGTTGATTCTTTATGGTTGAAGTAGAGGTCATAGGAGTAGCTTTAGAAATGATATGAGATTGTTGTAGTCAGAGAGAGGGCATAGAATTTGTGATTTCATAGATGGAACCGTTTTTGGTAATAAGCAGGCACTGTGAAATGGAGTGTAAAGGACTATTAGGAAATGCAAAGGTCAGTGGAATGAGATGGCAGAATTTTGGATGGGGTAGTCCATAGAGACCCCTGAAAATCAGGTAGTGAAATTTTCAGTGAATGATGAGGAAGGTTAGGAGGTATGTAGATGATAGCAATACGTAGGTAGACAGTGGACATGAATTCCATATAGAAACAGCATGTAAGGGAAACACTTGCAAAAACGTAAATAGAAAAGCATCCCAGGAAAGTTGGCTTAACTTACAAAATAGACATTTGTGAGTCTTTTGTTTTTCAGTGAGAAAAGACATTTGAAAGTGCAGCATCAAACTAGAATCTTTTCATTCCACAAAGGTGGCTGTATGCTTTGTCCTTCTCAGCAGTTTAATTAATAAGTAAAAAGTAGCTAGGGAAATGATGACTATTGGGACTCCTCCCTAAAATTAATAAATGGGATATTGGTTTTTTTGGTATCCTTGTCAAGATTAAGTGAAAATAAAACCAGAATCACCTAATTTTGACCTTGCAGAGGACGTTTCATTTCAATGTGCAGATTCAGCTATTGCAGCTGAGAGGATCATTTCTCCCCCAGGGAACTATTCTGATTACCACATTTAAAGAAGTTTCTAAACATTTCAGAACCTGTTTCTAAAAACAAAAATTTCTTTTCTTTTTCTTGCAGTGTGTTAGTAGTATGTGTAATTTTGAATCATCTGGACATGTGAATTAATCTTTCACTGTTTCTGCTATAGGCGCTTCGATACTTGGCGGAATGCCGTGCTAACAGAGAAAAGATGAAAGGAGAGCTGGGTATGATGTTAAGCTTGCAAAATGTTATACAGAAGTAAGTACAATAGACAGTGTCTCCTAAAGCTGAAAGTGGATCTTCTTGTTAAATGTATACTGGCTGTTAATATACAACTTAACTGAAATTTTAATAAAAAGGCATACTTTTAAAGATTATATATCCAAAAATATTCTGATTATTGAATATATTGATCTTAAAGTAGTCCTGAAATTTTCTAGATGTTATTTGAGGATTTGTTATTTGAAAATCTGCTGTATAGTACAGAATTCTTATGTTCTTCTCAGGTTTATTCAAAAGAACCTTCCTGAGTCTCTGTTTATACCCCAGGCATCATTGACTGGTTAGGGTGACTAGTTTTGGGTGAGTCCTGTCTGATGACCTGAATTAGCAAAGAGGATCATCAGCTTAATGTCCACGTTCCCGTGGCAGTTCTATCTGTTCCCTTTATCCATTCAAGCCTCCCAAGTGGGCAAGGAATGGGGCTTGGTTTCTTAAATTTAGCAATGATACTATGACAGGGATGTCTGGTTTTACCTTTTTGGTGGACCTTGCTGATTTCCTTGAAGGCTGCAAAGGAAAGATCAGTGTTTTGACATTTCCCCTGTTTAGAAGTAGAATGTCAGTACTTTCTGAGGCTTTATCTTAGTTTTCTTTGTATCTTAATCTGATACACAACATATAAACTTTAAAACTATAAAAGCCTTTAAAACTGTAACAGGTAATTTATTGGATTTTTAAAACATACCATGTAATTTCTTTGTTGTGAATGACCACAAAAGTTCTATATTTTCCAAACACTGTAAATTTAAACTCTGTCAGTAGAGAGTCATTTAACTTGGCTTCCTGGCCTCCCTGGTTGCACAGGGGATTAAGTCTCAGCACTGTGAAACTAATGTTAGATTCCCTAGCCAGGGAGCTAGCCCATGGTGCAGCAGACCTCTCCTGTCTTGCCCGCTGCTCCCCTCAGCAGTGTATTTCAGTCAGTTTGCCTGTTCTGCTCTCCACTCTGTCTCTGGTGAATCCCCCCCACCACCACCTCTGGCCTACACCCCAGCTCTTGCATGCATAAATAAATAATGTAAATCTTTAAAATAAATAAATAGACTTCCGGTGCAGCATAGGTTTTTGTCTTAGTGATTTCTGGGTAAATTTTTTGTTTTAATTTTATTAATCTTTTTTTTTCCCCTAGAGTTTACTTAACAATTTGTTCTCATGGGGTCAACTACTTGATAGGATAGTTCAGTGATGTCTTGGTCTTTGATGAGGAGCTAGAGATTGAAGGTTTTTCTCTTGCTTTTAATCAGGTTATCAGTAAGAAATAGTGGAAAGTATTGACTGCTATCAATTGTTAATCTTTACCTATGGATTGAGATCATACCATTAGTGAAAATTTGGATTCTAGTTTTGAGTTGAGAAAAGTAATTTGACATTTAGTTTCCTTATCTGTAATCCTAGAGTAATACCTCCAAAATGAAGAACCAGTAGGATAATACATGTAGAAATACATTGTAAATTCTGAAGTGTTTAAAAAGTTACCTTCTTCTAATTTCTAGTATGGCAGGTAACTATTTCTAATTAGCATATTGCTTCTATTAGAAACTGAAAGACTTAATCATAATGTGGCTACTTCTGTTGGATTACTTTATTTGTGTGATGAGTTTGCCATAGTGTGTTTTCCTTTAACAGGCATTGTTACTGCAGTGATTATAAGTAAAAATAAGTGACTAAAAATAAAAATGTAAGAAATTATGGAAAAGGGCCTCCCCAGTGGTGCAGCGGTTGAGCGCTGGATTGCGAATCTGCCTGCAGCCTCTGCGGTGCCAGTTCAATCCCCAGCTGCTCCCCGGCCACCAGAGGAGGGTCCCACTGCCGCCCGCTGCTCCCCTCAGCAGTGTACTTCGGTCCTTCTGCCTGCTCTGCTCCCTGCTCTGGCTCTGGTGAATTCTCTCACCCTCCCGCGCTTCTGACTGTACCCAGTGCATGTATAAACAAACAAACAAACAAATAAATAAATAATACATGCCTCTTTAAAAAAAAAATAAATAAAAAACAAACAAGAAAAGAAATTATGGAAAACTAATATTGATACATTATAATACATTGCAAATTTGAAATTTTAAGATTTAAAGCAAGTTTTAGCAATACCATTGATTTGACCCATAGAATAATGTTTATGGTTATGTTTGTAGTGTGGGTATGTACATATAAGTGAGAAATACAGCTACAAAATAGTAGGGACAGTACTTGTATCTTTGTTGGGGCAGGGCATGTCAGTTACTATCTTGGCATACAATCTGGGAAGGACATTCTGAGATAGTGTTAAAAATGGAGAAGGTGGTTTATAGTGGGGTAAAGTTTGTAAAAATAAAGGGTTGGATAGGGACAGTCTTTAGACTACAGTACTACAGTAGCTCAAAAAGGAAAGTAGAAAGGAAACTGAATGGTAAAAGGAATGTCTCAAATTGTATTGCAGATCTGACAGCCACCCAATGGGGAGCTTGTAAGTGAAGATTGCCCTGTAGAGGAGTTTGGCAGAGGTGGCCAGGTTCCATGCCCCAACTGCTTAATCATTGAATGGGGCCTTCCCAGGAAGAGCCAGGTCTCAAATTGAATGGTCAGTTTGATGGATCTTAATGCCAAGAGAGCTGATGTCTCTTCTTCTTTACATCCTGCAGTGAAGGGCAAGTTTCTTCCTTGAAGGGACATCTAAATAATGTATTTCCATGGCTGCCACAAGTGGCTTATCTTTTATTTATTTATTTGTAAATAAATAAAGGACTGGGGAGTATGCCAGAGGTATGGGGATGGGGTGGGGTGAAAGGATTCACCAGAGACAGAGTGGGGAGCACAACAGGCGGATTTATAGAAATACACTGCTAAGGGGAGCAGCTGGCAAGACAGGAGAGTACTGCTGTGCCATATGTGGGTTAGCTCCTTAATCAGGGATCTAACTCAGTCCATAAAGGTAATAATGCTGGGACTTAATCCTAGGCCAGCAAGGAGGCCTAGGCTTATCTTTTTAATTCAAATAAAGTCTTTATTTTAGAACAATGTGATGATCACTGTTAACTCCTCCAGTAGTAAAACAAGTACAAATTCATTGCCTATTATAATTTGGTCCTATAGCCCTCTCTAAAGTGAGATGTGATATAATGATTTTTATATACATATTTTGGTTCCTTTGGCTGCTAAAGATGTCAAGTTTGAAGTTTACTTTCAGACTTTTTTTTTTTAAAAATTTATTTATTTATACAAGAACTGGGGTACAGGCCCGATGTGCGGGAGGGTGAGAAGATTCACTAGAGATAGAGCGGGGAACAGAACAGACAGACTGACGAAATACACTGCTGAGGGGAGCAGCGGGCGAGACAGGAGAGGTCTGCCGCGCCATGTGGGACCCTTGCCGGCCGGCCAGGATTGAACCGGCGCTGCAGAGGCTACGGGTAGCTTCACAGCGCTGCACTCAACTGCCTGTACCACCTGTGGAGGCCCCAGACTTTTTTTTTAATTTGTTTTTTTAAAGATTTATTTATTTTTATACAAGAGCTGGGGTACAGGCCAGAGGCACAGGAGGGTGAGAGGATTCACCAGAGACAGAGTGGGGAGCAGAACAGGCAGACAGACCGAAATACACTGCTGAGGGGAGCAGCGGGCGCGACAGGAGAGGTCTGTCGCACCATGTGGGAATCTCCCTGGCTGGCCCGGAATTGAACCGAACAGGCACTGCAATGGCTGCAGACAGCTTCACAGTGCTGTGCTCAATCCTCTGTGCCACTGGGGACGCCCACTTTCAGACTTTTAAAAGCCACCTCTGTTTACTAAAATTACAACCTTAGAAGTTTATTAGTATATTTGAATTATATCAGGAGGTTAATAAAACTGTGTTTTGGCTTGTAAACATCAAGACTGAATTATTAGAGCCAAGTTTTTGTTGAGCATATTTAATATTGTGTTGTGAACTGTCTCATGATTTGGACGTGGTTTTCTCTTTTTATGAAGTTAGATTACTCTGGCATTTTTATTATCTCTTCATCTACTTGTATCTTTGGGGTAACTTAAAAATTCTTAAAAAGTTCTCATGTAGAGCAAAGTGAGTTTCATATATGATGCATATAGCTCATCTAAGACTGTAGACGTACATTCTTTAGACATTGTTTTGCATTTTGACATCTGTATTATGAGATGACTAAATTACGACTATTCTAACTTAACTAGCTTATGAACTAATTGGCCTCCCTATCTTATATAGATAACTTTGTAAGCCATAGCACAGACTAGCTATGTTATACATCCTAATTGTTTCTGTGATATGTCTGCCTGTGGCAGCCAGTCAGTTAGGATGGCATTCCAGCCACTCTGTTTAAGAGTACTGAGATGATAGATTTGCTGTGTTACTGTAGAACTCGGTTACTTAGAAAGTATCAGATGGATACTCCCATACCCCCCAAAAATTCACAGAACAAAGAAAATCTGTTGTGGAGGATGCTACCTTATTGACTCTTGAAGAGAGGCCCTCCACCTGGCAGTGATCACAGGGGAGAACAGAACGCAGGAGTAGGTAGGGAAAGTGGAGGTTATTCTTCATGTGGGAAACGCAAAAAGATTTTACAAAATTGGAAAAAAATATGCATGCTAAAATTTTTACCCTTTAAAACACCATATTTGTGTTTGGCTACAGAATTTTGCTGAGGTTTTAACATGTTATTCAACTATAGGTTCTACTTGTGTTGAAGTCAAATTGGTACTTAAAAGATTAACTTTTGGGCCTCCCCTGGTGGTGTAGCAGTTGAGCGCTGGGCTGCGAGGCTGCCCACAGCCTCTGCAGTGCCAGATCGTTCCCAGGCCACTGGCGAGAGTCCCACAAAAAAAAAAAAAAAAGAAAAAAAAGGAAAAAAAAAAGATTAACTTTTGAATTGACTTCAAATTCGCTGTTACTCTCAGTTCTTTAATAGTGAAGAGAATTTTTAAGTTCTCTGTCACTCAGAGTGAATCTGACATTATGTTCTAATTTTAGTCTTTTCCATAAATAAAAAGGTGTCATTAGAGATTAGAACCTTTTTATATTTTGTTTTTAGTCCTGGATCCCTTGGAGACTTTTCAAAATGTCAACTCAGGAGAATATTTCAGTCCAGTTAAAGACATTTTATGAATTGTTTTTTTCAGGAGTAATACTTTAGCTGTAAGATGCATTTTATAAAGACACTTGTGAATAACATGCAGTATACTATAAATAAAAACTGCTTTAATAAAATGTGGCAACAGAACTTTAAAATATCTCATTTCATCTAGATTTTGAAACAATTCTATAATAAACGGTGGTCAGTTTTTCTTGCTAAAAGCTTGGATGAAATTGTGTCCTTTTTTTATGTTTTTTTTCCCGCTGTGTTCTTTTACTTATTTTTACATATTTGATCTTAGCCAAAAGACCGAAAAGCAAATTTATTTTTCAGTGTCATTTTCAAATTTATTTCAAATGTGCAGCGTGTGGTTTATTTATAAAAAAATTAAAAATGTAAAAAAGAAAGTCCATAAATGTGTTTACATTTTTCTTAAACTTTAGATTGAAATGAGATTGGGCTTAGAGAAAAGTTGTAAAAACTGTTAACTATACCTAGATACCCTACCTTGATTCCCCAAATTTTAATGTTTTACCAGATTTGCTTTACCATTCTCTAACGTTATTTGGTATACATGTATTCATAACATGTACTCATTGTGGAAAATGTCTTGTAGGGCTAAAAAAGTGCCCTTTATCAAGTTTAATGCTTTAACTTAGGACTCAAATTCTACTTTCTGATATTAATACACAGTCATTGTTCTCCTTCATTATCTAGTCAAAATCTGTCTATTCCTTTGTTTCTGAAACACTGTATTTGCTATGTCTTGTTTTGTGAGCTAATTGAAAATCTTTTTTTTAAATTGTTGAACTGACTCCATTGTATTTATTGATGTGACTGGTATATTTATTTCCTCTTAACTCATTTATGTTGTAGTTACCATATATGTTCTGAAAATTTCTTCAGATAATTATATAGAAAATTTGACTTTCTAAGTGATTGCCTTTGCATTTCTGTTGTTAAAAAATGTTCTGAATTAATTGCCTGTTTAAACTTCTGCTATCTCATTTGTTAGTTTTTAATGCTATCTTTTGCCTCCCACCTTCTGTGTTTCATAGTCATTGAACTTTGTCTGCCTTCCTCTTCTCCCTTTTTCTAAGTTGCATTATTTCTATTTTGCCAGAACATTTATATATTCCATTCTCTTTCCACTTTTAATTTATTCTTTGATGTATAGTTAAATATATAAAATGCTGAGTTTTCCCAGTCATCTTGGTTTAAGTTCACTCTCAAGTAGATTGTTCAAGAATGGCTCAAATATTCCTTGAGATCTTTTCATGTTTAAGGCTCTTTTTCTGTAACTTTGTGCTTGAAGGACAGCTGAAGTGGATTTGTAGTTCATCCTGGATTTGTGGTTCATCTTTTCTTTAGATAATTGAAAGTACTGCTGTTTTTACCTTGATATTTATAGTTTTTGAGAAGTCTGTGCCAACTGGTCAATAGTAGTAGTTTGTTTACTCTCTTAAGAGCACTCTTCCTTATAGCCATTTTCCTGCAGTCTCATTTTTAATGACTGCAGTTATGTTCCACATCCTTTGTAGTTTTTTTCAGTGTCTTTTTTGGTGATTATTTAACACAGAGGTCAGCACTTTGTTTTTCCTATGAAAAGCCAAATAGTACATATTTTAGGCTTTGTAAGATGAACACACAGCCTCTTCTCTGTTGAAACTAGTCAATTTTGTCCAAATACAGTTAGAATTGTATCTGCATTAAAAGATGAGGGATGGTTTTCTGGGTTACATAAATGTTACATTTATTCCATTTATGGTGGAAATCACTAGGGCATGTTTATCTGAGATTTAAGCCCTGAAGTCCTAAGGAATCCACTAGATGTAACAGATTATTATTTACAATTTTATTTACAAATGTATCATATAAATCTAGATTTTTTTCTACTTGAATTTTTTCTTTCTAATTTCAGAAAGTTACGTTGGACAGTACTTTTAAACTTCTTTGCCTAACTACATAAAAGGTTATTTCAATATTTTGGATTCTTTTTATTTCTTTGATTTATTTTTGTTACAGTGGAAGAATTACTGAGTCAAAGAGTGTAGATATATTTATGTCTTTTAATAACTGCTAAATTTTTTTTTTTAAATGGTACTGGTACTGACTTGACTCTTACAAGCAGTTTTCCATTTTATTGGAATTTTTCAAGCATTGGATAGAATTGCTACATGGGATATCACTTCCAATTCTAAATAACACACACACACAAATGTATCATCTCTGTTCCTTGAGTGATGAAAGGTAGAGGATTGGGGACATACACTCACTAAAAGTTGATTGGGAAAATCTTTTGTTTTCATTTTTCCTGTGAAACGGTCTCTAATTTTTTGTCAGCTTTAAAGGGGTTAATAGCTGCATTTTGTTTCTGCAGAATAGGAAAATAATTTAACATGTAGTCTTTAACTATTTTATGGCACTGTTTCATCAGGAAACAATAAATTAAAAAGTTTTGAGTTAATGTGTTTTAAAAATTTATATAGTTATTAGTTTAATATTCTATTATGTGTCTTATCGATTTGCTCTGTTTTTATTTGCTGCAAACACCTAAAAATAATATTGATGATGATAAGGGGTAACAAAGACTTCCTCTTTTTTTTAACTTTTAAGTTTATGAGTGCCTGTAACCAATGTATCCGCATATTTTACACCTGTGGTTGGATAGTATTTAAAGTAAAACAGAACTGCAATGACCTTTCAATAAACTTTGAGCGGCTCTCAGAAAATGCTGAGACATCGCCTTAAAAAAATCTTCCTGCAACACAAAGCCAAAATCATTTGATGTAATTTATCTCTGTGGTCAGCAGTGATCCAGAGGAGCACCTGGTATAGTAAATTGTGTGCCCAGAAAAACTACCAGATTAGCACCCCTGGAATTGACATTTTGTGTATGTAAACCCTATAGTCAGAAACAAATATTTCTATTAATTCAATTAATAAATAGATTGCAAAAATTTTTGTTTGGTTTTGTAGAAGACGCAGAATCCTTGTTCTTTAAAAACAAGAAATAGGAAAAATAAGATTAGTAGAAAAAGTAAAAGTACTTTGAAAGTAGAGAGGGAAAAATGGTTTGATGGAAGGGAGGCGTCTTCATAAAATTGACCACTAAACCTTCAAAGAAGAATAGGAATTTGAAAGCATACAGGTAAAGTTCTTTAGATTGAGAGAAAGGGATTTATAAAAGGAGAAAATGAGAAGCTGATGGTGGTAGAACTGAATGGCAACATATTTCAAAGGCCTTGAATGTATGTTAAAGGGTTTAGACTTAATTTAGTCCCTGGACCTAATAGGTGAAATGATTATTTTCTCACAGTTTGTACTTATAATTTATTCAATTAATGAAAACCATTAAATCTCTGCTATCCAGTAACTTGCCATATGTTATTCTTTGAATTAATTAAAGGTAAATAATTTTTTTTTTTTTTTAGTGTTCAAGTGTTTAATAGTTACATGCGGCTAATAGTGCAGGAATTTCTATCAGCACAGAAAGTTCTGTTGGAGACCATCACACTAGTTGTTTATGTGGGGAACTTCAGTAAGATTAAAAAATTTTAAGAATGAAAGCTTCTGTTTGAGCTGTGTTTTTTTTTTTTTTTTTTTTTTTTTAAGATTTATTTATTTATTTATTTATTTATACGAGCACTGGGTATAGTCAGAAGTGCAGGAGGGTGAGAGAATTCATCAGAGCCAGAGCGGGAAGCAGAGCAGGCAGAAGGACCGAAGTACACTGCTGAGGGGAGCAGCGGGCGGCAGGAGAGGTCTGCGCGCCATGTGGGACCCTCCTCTGGTGGCCCGGGAGCAGCCGGGGATCAAACTGGCGCTGCAGAGGCTGCGGGCAGCTTCGCAACCCAGCGCTCAACCACTGCGCCACCGGGGAAGCCCTGAGCTGTGGTTTTATGTTATACAATGCTTTCTGAAAGATGTATAAAATGTAAGAAGCAGAATCAGTTTAAATTTACTAAGAAATCTCTTTGAGTAACTGTAGTATGAATTGTCCTTTCCTAATTTGTCTTTTTGGATTTTCAAATACTGTATTTTCTTGGAGGGCAGAGTACTGTCAAACTCAGAGGTGATGTTAATTCACAGACATATGACATTTTGTGTTTTTTTAGGTGATTTTCTGTTTAATGAGTTTGAATTGTGTTTTTAAACCACTATAGTGATATTTTGAATCTCAATGAACCATGGATTGAAAATGAAGTTAGAATAATTTATTGTAGCCTACTTTTACATTATTGATTATTCTAGGATTCATTGGTATTTCTTATAAATTCAAGAAAGCATCACAAGGAAGAAAAGAATTCTCAAAGTTGACGAATAAAATTACAGAATCATTAGAAGTGACAGACTAATTTATTAATTTAATGGGTTTCTTTTGAAGGACTACAACTCCAGGGGAAACGAAACTGCTGGCCTCTGAAATCTATGACATTCTCCAATCTTCCAACATGGCAGATGGTGATAGTTTCAATGAAATGAATTCACGTCGAAGGAAAGCTCAGTTTTTTCTGGGAACTACAAACAAACGTGCCAAAACAGTGGTTTTGCATATAGATGGTCTTGATGATACGGTAAGACTTATAAACACAAAGATCATTCAAAAACTGACAAAGAACTAGACAGGAGAATTAGACATTTCAGTATCACTTAATTAATAGAATAAGTATACAGAAAATCAGGTTATAGAAGATTCAAATAATACGAATAACCAACTTAGCATAATTGATATTTACAGAATACCTCACCCAAAGCAAGATAATATTCTTTTCATGTGTGTGTACATGGAACACTTATCAAGATACAGTATATTGTAGGCTATGTGACAAGTCTTAATAAATTTGAGAGAAATAGAACCATGCAAACTTTGTTCTTTGAGCACAGTGAAAACCACCTTAGATATCATTAACGGAAACCTGGAAGGTCCCCTAAATATTTTGGATACTAAGTAATGTATTTCTAAAATTTTGCATGGGTCAGTGGAGAAATTAGAAAGCATTTTTAACTGAATAAAAATGAAAATGTAATATCAAAATTTGTGGAAAGCAGCTGAAGCAGTGTTTGAAAGAGATTCATTTATAGCGAATATCTGAATGTTCATTTGCATGAGAGAAAAGGGTTCAATGACTTAAGCTTTACTTTAAGAAACTAGAAAAAAAAAGTAAATCTCAACTAGCAGAAAAGAGGAAACAGTAGAAATCAGAAGAAAAATAGAGAAATATCAATGAAATCAAAAGTGAATCTTTGACATGATAAATAAAATTGATAAATTTTATAGCCAAACATCAAATACACAAGAGAATTGACAAATTATCAATGTTAGAATTGAGAGAGAACATCACTACAGACCCCGTAGGCAGTAAAATGAGTGACTATTTTAGATAACTTTGTACTAATAAATTTGATAATGTAGATGAAACAAAAAATTCTTTAAAGAGATTATAAAGATTCTTTCAAGAAAAAATAGGATACTTGAAAAATTGAGTTTTTAATTAGAAACCTTCCCATTAAAAAAGCTCTGTCACAGATCATTTCACTGGTGAATTCTACCAAAAATTTAAGGAAGAGCTAGTATCAATTGAACTACTAGTGGTTAAATGTGTATTTCAAATGCTGTACTAGTGATTCTCAACAGTGTAGTTTCTTCTAAGTTCATTCTAATTTGTCTGCTTTTAATAATAGCTACTCCAGGTTTTTTTTGTTTTGTTTTTTTGTGTTTTTGATTAATAGGTGTCTTCTATTTGTATTTTTATCTGATATCATTTCCTGATTTTCATTTCTTAATACTGGTCTGCTGGAGATGAATTCTCTCATTTTTAGTAAAACTGTAAAGGAGTTTGCGTAGTATAAAACTTACCATTTTAGATTGTACAATTCAGTGGTTTTATCCATCATCATTGTCTAGTTCCAGAGCATTTTATCACCCAAAAAGGAATCACTAGCAATCCATTAGTGGTACCCATTAGTAATCATTCCCCCTAACCCTTGGCAATCATTAATCTACTTTCTATGTCTATGAATTTGCCTATTTTGAACATTTCATCTAAATGAAGTCATAATGTGTTTTTTTTTATGTCCCACTCTAACTTAGCATAATATGTTCAAGGTTTATCATGTATCTGTATATCATTTTTAAAGTAATACTATGCTACATGGATATACCATGGGAGGCCCCTGTTCTTTTTTTAATTAATTTTTTAATATCATTGTTCATTTTTAAACAATATTTGCTTCTCACCACCCTTTCAGGTGTGGTCCCCATAGAGTTTCCTTCACCAGTGCACCTGTTTAATTTCTTTATTTTTCTGAATTTTGCAAATTTCCTTCTGCTTTTGATTTCTGACTTCATTTCATGTGATTTGACATTATATGATTTCAACCTTTTAAAGCTTGTTTTATGGCTTGACATGGTCTGTCCTGTAGAATATTTGATGTGCACTTGAGAAAATGTGTTCCAGAATTGTTGGTTCATAATATTGGTGGTTATCTTTTTTTCCTTTTCAATCTTCTGTTTAGCTGTTCAGTCCAAAAACTAGAAATTAATAGTCTCTAACTCTTTCAGATTTTATATTCTGGAAAATTTGTTTTTCTTTTTTGAAAGATTAATTTCAGTTTGCATAGAATTTGAGAGTATGGTTTTTTAAATTTTCTTGCTATGTTTTAAGATATTGCTCTACTGTCCCTTGTATTATTTCTAATCATAGTTCTGTCATTCTTATTTTTGTTCTTTTGTGTGTTATGTGCCTTACATTTCCCCTCTGCCCGTGTTAAGGAGTTTTTCTCATCACTGCTTTTAATCGGTTTATGATGAGCCTTGGTTTAATTTTATTCATGTTTATTCAGCTTCTTGGATATCTGGATTTATAGGTGTAGCAAATTTTCCATTGTTTCTTCCTGTGTTTTATCTGTCCCCTTCTTGCCTTGGTGTTTCAGAGATTCCTGTTGCACATATATTCAAGCATGTCATGTTATCTCAGAACTTGCTGCTACTATCTGTTAATTTCCTTTTCAATCTTTTTTATCTGAGTTACATTTTGGATGGTTTCTATTCCTGTATTTGTTGTTTTCTTCTGCAAGTATTTAATTTTCTGTTAATGCCATCTAATGTATTTTTCATCATAGACACTGTTGTTATATCCATCTAGAAGTTTGATTTGCGTCTTTTTTGTTTCATTTTCATTGAGTCTGTTATATATCTTCCTTAAACATGTTTACACTTTTCTCTATTTACTTGAACATACAGATTTGGTTAGAATAACTGTTTTAGTGTTGTCTACTAATTCAAGCATCTGCAGTATTTCTCCCTGATAATTTTTGATTGGATGGTATTGCAAATTTTACTTTATTGGGTATAACATACATGCAGAGCTTTCACATACTCTTGAACTTTGCTCAGGATCACAGTTAAGTTACTTGCAAATAGCTCTTTTTTAAGCTTATTTTAACCTTTGTTAGGCAGGACCATAGTATACTTTATTTAACTTAAGGATAATGATTTTCTCACTACTGAGGCAATAAATTCTCTTCTGGATATTGTTGTCTGTACCCTATGAAGATCAAGGTTTTTTTTCCCACTCTGATTGGAACAGTAAGTATTCCTAGCCTTGTTTGAGCCTATAGAATTATTCCTTCTATTCCTCTCCAGTCTGGTTTTTCAGCCACAATACTTGCATTGAATATCACTCAGCTGAAAACCTGAGAGGAACTCATTAGCACATGCTCTCTCTCTCTCTGGGCCTGTTTCTGTAGCCCTGCCCTCTTCTATCTTCTGTCCTGTGAATTGTAGTTGCCTTGACCTCTCTGAATTTTCAACTTCTTGTCTTCAACTTAGCAAGACAGCTGGTTCTGAGTGGGTTTCCCCTTCCTGAGGTGCAACCTGGAAGTTTTCTATGCAATGTGTTGGTGTAATTGTGGAGCTCATTTCACTTCTTTTCTTTCTTTTGTGGATGCTTGTTTTCCAATGTCTGGAAACCATAGTTTTAGTCATTTCATTTTGTCTGTGTTTTAGTTGGTTAAGTCTGGAGAGTAAATCTGATTCCTGTTAACTCCATCTTGACTGGAATTGGACATCTCCTTGAAATTATCTTGAGTGTAATAAATTATATGACTTACACATGTAGAAGTGGCAACTGGCAGATTACCATTTATTTCATTAGCTATGCCAGGTAGGTTACATTAGAATATCCACAACTTTTTCTAGTTGTAGTGTCGGGTTACTTAGACCTTAGGATATAGGGTTCATTAAAAAAGGGTGAGGAAGGTTTTCATACACATATTGTTTATTACATTGCCAAATAAGTTAACACCTATCTTATTGAAACTGGGACCACAAAATCCTGAAGTTGCTAGAAAGTAAGTTCTGGTAAATTTAAGTAAATTGAACAGGGGATATTAGGATATACAAAATACATCCAAACAAAATACAAAATAAATTTTAATGAATTAGGGTAAAACATTTCCTTTTTATAGCTAGCACAAACCAAAAATAAAACCCAACAAAGCACACACAAAAATATAGGCTAGTATATCATATGAATGTGATTACTAAAATCTAAAATATTAGCAAGGTAGCTCTAACACAGTATTAGAATATCAATACCAATAGTGTATGGGACTTGATTTTTCTTTTTTTCCTTAACTGGGAATGGAGTCTTTAGAAATTAGAGACTACTACCTTTTTTCTTTAAATTGATACTCCCTTAATATGCACACACTCTCACATTCTCTTCTCTTGCCCACTGTAGGGCAGTTAATTTTGACTCATCTACCTCTTTACCCAAATCCTAATTTCATCTACTTACAGTTCTCAATCTGATTTTGGCTCTGGATCCCAATCAAGAGGTTACTTGTCTTCTGTGGCAAATTGATCCTGTTTGCTTTGTTGAAGATGTAACTTTTTTTTCTGGAAATAACTCCCTGAGAGCAAATCTTAGTATTGAATTTTCCTCAGCACACCACTCCCTAGGCTGTACATGTTGAAAATGTGTTAATTCATGTCAAAACAAAGACGAATTGGCTTCATGAATCTGGTTTCTCACTATCATATATAGTTGGAATTTAGTGCCAGGCTCTTTGCCTGTGATAAAGTAGGCTAGATATTTAACTGCTTTTCTTTTGCTTTCCTCATATTTAAAATATGGAGTCAGATTAGACCATAGAAGTATCCTAACAATATGTTATATATGCTGTGGAAATGTTCTTCACTTTTAAGTTTATCCGGTGTTGAATATGTGAAAGAGGTGAGTATGAACCTGTTTGGTACCTGTTACCTAAAGGAGCTTTACAGAACCCTTAAGAATCACTGTGCTGGCTGAGACCCTGCCTGCAGTATGCTAAAATGCAAAAGTGGAAATGTGGCTTAAGTAGGAAGATAAGCAACGATATAAGTTGTTTTGAAGACTGTGGGAATAAGTTTAAAGACTGATTTTATTCAATAAAGGAGAATGGATTGGGTAATTCAAAGGTAGTAATTTTTGAATTTGTGATCCAGAGACTTGGGATCAATTGCACACTCCTATCTCCTCAGAAGTACTAAATGAGAACCTGGTCTTTGTAGAAACATGAAAATTTAATGATGGTGATTTGATATTTGGCAAGAGGTAGAGAGACGGAGGAAGAGAAACTGCAGTTTTTAATCCATTTTCTCTTTGGATCTTGTATTTGAGATGACCACTTGATACCAAGTAGATATGTCTGATAGATAAATGAAAATAGTCATATTCAAAGTAAATGTGCTTCTACATGGTGATAATGGCTGGAGCGATGAGAATAGTCTACTGAGGGACGTTGTAAAAAGAAAATCACTTAATTTTAGGCATTGGACAGGTAAGATGAGACAGGGATGAGGGTGTAAGTTGAGGACCAGGGTAGTGTGTTACTGGTGTCAGAGTAGCATTCAAGGGTGTTCATTATGTTGTGGTTGTCTTAGGAAAATGAGAACCAAAAAGAGGATGTTGATAATCTTTGAGAATGTTGTAGTTATCATTAATATGCCATAGTTGAAGAACACAGTAATATTTATAATAACCAAATGCTTTAAACAATGGTGATTTACACACTGAATGCCCATTAATTTAACTTCAGTCTACCAGAATGTTACCTACATATTTTTAAGGTAGACCAGGGGTCAGCAATACTGTTCTTTAAAATACCAGACAGTAAATATTTTAGGTTTTGCAGGCCGTATGGTCTCTTTTATTACTACTAACTCTGCTATAGCATGAAACTAGCCTCAGCATGTAAATAAATGGGCACGACTGTGTTTAGTAAAATTACTTACAAAAACAGCTTTAGCTAGAGGAACCTCTGCTAGTCACTTTTTTTTTTTTTTTTTTTTTTTTGGTATTCTTCCATTGTGTGTGTTTAAGATTTAAACAAGCATTGGCTGGCTTCTTTCTGATTAAAATTATTAAAACTAAATATTTGTAATAAAGCTTTAAAAATATAACTTGAATTACAAGTCTGTTAACTTCATACAATTTTTAATAAACTTACTAAGCACAACCTACTCTGTGCTCTCAAATATGAGATGGTAGAACAGGTTTGGACACTTGCCCATTCCTTTCCCTGCCCAACACAACAGTTATTTCATTACAGTTTGAGTTGACTTACTATGATGATGATGTTGTTGTTTTGGTCAGTTTTAACAATTTAATTTTGCTTTTTCAGTCTCGGAGAAATCTGTGTGAAGAGGCTTTGTTAAAAATTAAAGGCGTTATTAGCTTTACTTTTCAAATGGCCGTTCAAAGATGTGTGGTGCGAATCCGTTCAGATTTGAAAGCAGAGGTTAGTATTTTAAATGACTATGTTTGAAGTTACAGGTAAAGAAATCAAAGTGTTCATAATTGTACTTCTTATCCTGGCATAGGCTTTGGCATCAGCAATAGCATCAACAAAAGTTATGAAAGCTCAGCAAGTTGTGAAAAGTGAAAGTGGAGAAGAGGTAAAAGCTTTATTTAATTTTCTGTACACCTGACTCTTACTCTTGTCCGTATGGCTAGGAGATTGATCGTAGTTCTATTCTGCTTATTGCTAAAGAAAGGAATGTGATTGGGCCAATTATCATAATGTTACTTGGTTGATAGTTAATGCTTTGAGAAATAAATTGCATTTGGTTTTTAAGTACTTTCTAACTTTAATAGTTTTGCCAATCCAAAAAATAAAGGTGAAGTTCCACCACTGGTCAAGTAAATATAGTGAAATATCTTTGCTTCTTGCTGCTTCTTCCATTAGCTTTGTGATAGTGATCAATCTATATGCCTTAAGCTCCTTGGAAATCCCATAGAAGGAGATTCAGTGGCCTTCCAGGGGCCCACAGTAACCAAATACTTGCTTTTATCATCTTTAAGTAGACAGAGGTTTGCACACTTATTCCTGGAACCTGAGAAACAAACATCTAAGTTTTCGTGTGTAGTTCTGCCTTTTTGTGCTTACACAGTGCTAAGCAATCAGTCCTACCTTTGTGTAAGAGGAAATTTTTTTAAAGGAACATTGCCCCAGAGAATAAATAAGTGATCAGAATGAAGAATAAAGTCAACCTCCAACTTATGACACATATCTATATCAGTTAGGTTTGATTATGTAATAACTCTTTACATGTTCTCTGTCTCAGATGCTGGTCCCATTCCAAGATACACCTGTGGAAGTAGAGCAGAATACAGAACTGCCTGACTACCTGCCTGAGGATGAGAGTCCCACAAAGGAGCAGGACAAAGCAGTGTCCCGGGTTGGCTCACACCCAGAAGGTGGAGCTAGCTGGCTGAGCACAGCTGCAAACTTTTTATCCAGATCATTTTATTGGTGACTTCAATTTGTGGCTCAAGGACTGTGTGAACCAACAAGGGGCCAGTTTTCCATTGTTGTGGTGAACTGTCAAGTGCAATTTGCAATAAGTTATCATGAAAAGTTTTTAGATTACATAATTGTGTATGCTGCATTTTACATATTTTTTTTTTTGGACATTTATCCCAAGTGGTAAAAAGGACAGAGGCTACAAGTGGAGTTGCTTTGTTTATGAAGGTATTTTGGTTCTATTTTCCTTGTTTAATTGCCTCACTTTTATAAAAACATGGGTCCATCATTAAACCAAACATGTGCAGCTTTATATTTCATTTTATATGAAGCACGTGATTAGGAAAACTTATTTTCTCCTCAAGCCTCAGGACCTATCTGAAGAAAAGTTTTTTAGTTCAAGTTGTGCATGAATTACTGAACATTTTTCTCTGCTTTTCTTCAAGAAAGATACTTGCTTTGGTACTCTTCACTGAAAGTTAAAAACATGTCTCATTACTCCCCTCTTGTGCCTTTTTTATTTTGCCAACCATGTTCTAGAAAACACATCACTAATGACATTTTGTGGATTAAAAATATATTCATTTAAATGTAGTGGTCCTCTAAAAATATAACTTAGCAAAAAGTTTGCAATTTGTTATTATAATTTTAATAAGATCAATACAAAATCAGTCATGAAGAAGGAAGCATCTATTATCAGCAAAGTGCTATTGGAGACTTTGAATGTGGCCAAATGTGGTTCTAACTGACTGCCATTCAGTTTGGTTTATATCAGTTCTTGAGAGTTTTGTCCACCATAATATTGGGAGCAACTGTAAATGGCCTCCAGACCTTACTTTGTGATTATATACAATCCCCTGGGAAAAAATACAGTAGTAAAAAACTGACAAACTTGAAAAAAGAAAATAAGCTGAATGCCTATAATGCCATAGTGCCACTTGGTAGAGTCTAAGATACAAATTGCTTGGTACATGCCCATTCAGTAGGTGTTTCCTTGTATTGCCTTTTATAAATTTATTATGAACATGTGGTCATACTGAATGAGAAAAAAAAAGACTCAAATTATTGCTATAAAAAAATAAAGCCAGCATCGGTCTATTCATTCTTGTTTTTTATGTCAAACCGGAAAAAAAAAAATCTTCAAGTGGAGGTAAGATAAGTAAATATACATATGTATGCACACACATATATATTTTGGTAGATAAGAGCTAACTACATATATGTAATGCTTTACTAAATTTCTGAATTATTTGGCAACTAAAATTTTCTTTTTGGAAATCCAACTAAATCCAGATCAATTTTAATATTAATATGGTTATAAACTAATAAATTGAAATTCTTTTCATCAACATGTAGAGCTGCTATTTTACTACTTAGAGAATATGGAGTGAAAATTGGATCCTGGAGGGTTTTCTTGTATTTCATGGCTTCTCTTTTAGAGAAAATTTAAAGCATCCAGTGTTACTGGAGAAAAAATAAGTGAAATACCATCAGCAACAAGATTTTGAGTTCACACACCTTGGGCTCTGATTTCATGTGACACATACAATTGAAAATAATAAGCTTTCCAGGCTTGTATTGCTTCAAACGCACAATACTGCTGCCAGAACCAGATATGTTGAAAAAAGAAAACAAAAACCAGCTCCTTTCTATAGCCATTAAAACAAAGTTTACTGTTCTAACAAGTTTGTATTTTGTTTTGCATTGCCACACATCTGCTTATTTAAAAAACTACATCCCTTTGGTGGTAATGGTACAGTGCAAGTCGGTATTACAGCTTGCTGTTTGTGTGTTCTAATTCTAAGTGTTCTTTTATTCCAGGTCTTATAGAGCAATTAAGGCAACTGTAATGCATTTTTTTTTGAAATATATTGTAAAATAATAAAAGGTAACATAATTAAAATTGGAATGGCTGTTGCGCTTTGTGGAATAAGTATTATTGATTGCTCTGAAGCCTTTTCGTAGTCATTCTTCCTGAAACCCTACTCTCTCCCTGCAGATGTGTTATTTGACTAATTCCATGAACCTTTCATTAGTCTCCTACCCAAAACCACACCTGCCACTCCCCAGAATTGGATCAGCTGCTTTTGTACATATACTCACTGTAGTATTTATGACATTAGATTGAAAATATAGTTAACAGTGTCTTCCTCTTAGAGAATGAGGAGAACCAGTGTCTAGGTTTTTCTCCATTTATAAAAATGGGGTTATAATAATCTAATGAGATCATGAGTGATTTAAAAAGAAATTCACAAATGTGAGATGACGATTTATTGTCACTGAAAATTTGACAGAATTCTCGTACTTCATTTTTAAATGGGACACTATACCTTTCTAATCATGCTTCATTTGACTTTCTACATCCAGTCAGTTTTATCCAGGCCTTTGATTTATTTTTAAGATTGATTTATTTATGCACACAAGAACCAGGGTATAGGCCAGAGACACGGGGGGTGAGAGGATCCACCAAACACAGAATAGGCAGACTGACCAAAATACACTGCTGAGGGGAGCAGCGGGCAAGACAGGAAAGTTCTGTTGTGCCATGTGTGTTGCTCCCTGGCTAGCCTGGAATCAAACGTGCTGAAGAGGCTGCGGTAGCTTCACGGTGCTACCTTAACCCCCTGTGCCACCAGGGTGGCCCCAAGCCTTTCAATTTTTATTCAAACGTTGTCTCTGGAAGAATTTATCTATTTTAAGGATTTTAATTACTTTTGTGTAGGTAACTTCTAAATCTCCATTGTAACTGTCATTTTTGATAGCTTCCCCCTTACGTTGCTGTACCTATCAAATGTAAAGTCTATGGATTTTATTTTAGAACCAAGCTCATAGGAGGCATGGCTTTAAATATCTAGGTTTAAATTTAAGGAAAATAATTCTGCGCCAGGCCCTGGCATTGTGCTAAGTGCTTGACAAATACACGTCATCCTTCACTTGTGGGGTAGATACTTAACAAGTCCATGTTATAGATGAGAGCAAAAACTCGTTTCAGAACACAGAACTAGCAAGTGTTGAAACCAAGACTCCAACCCAGGCCTTCTGGCTTGCGAGTGTACACTTACAAGGCAGCCTGTGTCTTACATCCCTCTCTTGTGTCCTTCCAGTTCTGTCATCACTGTTCCAGTACAGACTGCCTCTTACATCATGTCAAGTGACTAATTTTGTGTCCCCATCAGGAATAATTGGGAATTTATCAACTTTTTAATATTTTTCCCCCACACAAGTGGAAATGTAATGCTCTGCACCTTTTTTTCACTTAAATTGTATATATTAGAAATTAAATCGTGTGTAAAGCAGCTTCATTTCATAATTTTACCATATTTTAATGTTCACCATCTATTTAACCAGTGTTTTGATGTCCTTTACTATTACAAATAGTGGCATATATAGTTGTAGGATGGATTCCTAGATGTAAAATTGCTGTGTCAAAGACTACGTGTTTTTACTTTTTTTAGTTCCTGCTTTCTTAGAGATTGTTTCCTCTCACCAGCAAGGTAGAAATTCCTGCTTCCCGTCATCCTTTCCAATCTATGTTACCTAATATTTAGACCCTTGCCATTAAAAGAAATCAATCTCTTATCAGTGTATTTAAGAGCTGTTTGTTTTTTCTGTGAACTCTTTTTCATTATTTTGGGGGTGGTGGTTGATCTTAGCTAATTCATAGAAGTTCTTTAACATACTCAGGAGATAGAGATTTCTATGAAGTCTTTGTAAGCTGTAAATGCATAAAATGAAGATGGGATCGTTGTTAATTTACATGGGAAAGTTTGAATATTCCTAGACCCCCAAAATAACCTATGGGATCATATCGAATATCACACAAAACCTAAAATAACATATAGTAAGGGCCTCCCCTGGTGGCACAGGTGGTTGAGCGCAGCGCTGTGAAGCTGTCCACAGCCTCTGCAGCACGGGTTCGATCCCGGCCGGCTGGCGAGAATCCCACATGGCAAAGCAGACCTCTCCTGTCTTGCCCGCTGCTCCCCTCAGCAGTGTATTTCAGTCTGTCTGCCTGTTCTGTTCCCTGCTCTGTCTCTGGTGAATCCTCTCACCCTCCTGTGCCTCTGGCCTGTACCCCAGCTCTTGTATGCATGCATGAATAAATCTTAAAAAAAAAAAAAAGTAGTAAAAGCAAGAATGATATGATACATATACACCTCCAGTAGTTCCCAGGGAAGAAGCTTGACCACTACTGCTCAGGTGTATGCTGCCTCCTTGACAGCTGCAGCACAACAAACACTGAAAGTTTCATTTTCTGAAAAGCAAAAGGGGAAATTTTCTTCCAATTTCTTTTGTTTCGTGAAGACAGGTACTACTGTAGATCTTTCATAGAAGTGAAGTGACATAAACTGGGAAGCAGGGGACCACCAGTATTTCTTTAATAGCAACTCATGCTATGCAATAAGATTTTTGGCTTATACAAATCCATCATACCTCTGTTTGTCACCCCTTAATTCCTTCTTTTAAATGCTATAGTTCTTTACTTTAGAACCTGTCATTTATGGTCCATTATTTTCCATGTTTATTCTTAGATTGAAATCTGTAAGGGAGGGGATGTTATATTTGCCACATAGAGCATAATACTGTGCTGAGTGTTTGGGGAGTGTTTACAAATGATTTATGGTAACGAAGCAGTTGTAGTTCTATGTTGAGGGGCTAGGGATTTCCATTTGGTTCTATTGTCTATATCACTGCATATATGGATTGCTGCCACCAGTTTCCTTTTTTTAAAAATTTATTTATTTTTATACAAGAACCGAGGTATAGGCCAGATGAGTGGGAGGGTGAGAGGATTCACCAGAGACAGAGCGGGGAACAGAAAGGCAGACTGAAGAAATACATTGCTGAGGGGAGCAGCGGGCGAGAGAGGAGAGGTCTGCTGCGCCATGTGGGACCCTCGCCGGCTGGCCGACCAGGGTCAAACCGGCGCTGCAGAGGCTGCGGACAGCTTCACAGTGTGGCACTCAATTGCCTGCGCCACCAGGGAGGCCCGCCACCAGGGAGGCCCGCCACCAGTTTCTTAATTACTTGAGTACTTACTGTGTCTCAGTAAGTGCTCTGTCCTGAGTCCTTGTGTTATCACCTTAAAGATCACAATGGTCCAATGAGCTGGAGTTTCTTGTATACGTTTTTCAGAGGAAAATGAAGCTAAAGTAATGAGTCAAGTACAACCAAAAAATGCAGGACTAGGATTTAAATCTTAGAGGCTCTTTTTAGTTCCCTGTTATTATGTTTACAAAATAAGTGTATATTTTTCTACTGGATATAAGCTTGTAGTGACTTATAAATAACTTTTTGAGATTATCTGTAAACTGCCCTACTCACCTACTAGTAGACCTGACACTCTTAGTTAAATCAATATCTTTAATCTTTAAATGCATTATGTGCTGGAATGTATTCTCAATTTACCAAAATCTGGTCTTCAAGAACTGGTTATTCCATGTAGTCTTCCCTGTCCATTTTGACGCTTGCTAATTTATTTCCCAAAACTTTAAATACTTTCAAAACTTAAATGGTTTGCTATACATTTGACCAGTTAATTGTGTCATTTGTCTTTTCATTCCTAAATGTCTTCATTTCGAGATGATGATAGTAGAGATCAATTTCAAAGCTCATCTTCCCCTTTTGGACTACCCCCTTCTGTATATCAAGTCCAAACTGAAGCCTATCTCCAAACCTCATTACTGGTGATTTTAGGACCAAACTGTTTCCTGATGTTCTTTCCAAGTTCTTAATGATTCTGAAGTCCTTTTTTTTTTTTTTTTTAATAGAGGCATGCTTTACTTATTTATTTATTTGTTTGTTTGTTTGTTTTGTTTATACATGCACTGGGTACAGTCAGAAGCGCGGGAGGGTGAGAGAATTCACCAGAGCCAGAGCAGGGAGCAGAGCAGGCAGAAGGACCTGAGGGGAGCAGCGGGCGGCAGCAGAGGTCTGTGCGCCATGTGGGACCCTCCTCCGGTGGCCGGGGAGCAGCCGGGGATCGAACCGGCGCCACAGAGGCTGCGGGCAGCTTCGCAACCCAGCGCCCAACCGCTGCGCCACCGGGGAGGCCCGATTCTGAAGTCCTTTTTGACCTTTGCTGATAATGAGTCTTTTTTTTTTTTTTTTTTTTTTTTTTTTTTATAGAGGCATGCTTTATTTATTTGTTTGCTGGTTTGTTTGTTTGTTTTGTCTATACATGCACTGGGTACAGTCAGAACTGCGGGAGGGTGAGAGAATTCTCCAGAGCCACAGCGGGGAGCAGAGCAGGCAGAAGGACCGAAGTACACTGCTGAGGGGAACAGCGGGCGGCAGGAGAGGTCTGCGCGCCATGTGGGACCCTCCTCTGGTGGCCGGGGAGCAGCCGGGGATCGAACCGGCGCCGCAGAGGCCGCGCGCAGCTTCGCAACCCAGCGCTCAACCGCTGCGCCACCGGGGAGGCCCCTGATAATGAGTCTTATGTGAAAATGTGATTTGTACAAGTATCCATTTTCTCATGCTTAAATATTTCAGGTAGGAGGGGAGTTTATTAGGACATATAAAATAAATTCCAATTATATAGCGGAAACAAAATTGGACATATACTTGGGGTAGGAATATACTTGGGGTGGGGGAAGTAACTTTGTGATTGGTGGAAAAGGGAAATTTTAGCTTAAGATGAAATGAATTACTGGACTAACAGGTAAGAATGTGGCATAGAATGAATTTAAAATTATAGTCGGGAATTAAAGAAGATGGAAAAAGAGGCGGATGGAAAATGAAACCAGCTTTACCAATGAATGGAGAACAGGGATACAGCAAATGTAGGTAAAAGCTCTTAAGGCAGACTGTGAAAGAGTTGAGGACTCAGGACTCAGTTTTAGAAGATACATTTTTCTGGGAAAATGGATCATTAGCTGTCAATGCAGCAGTTTAGAAGAAAAAGTGCACCGCTTTAAGATAATTTGTAAACAAAAA